AAAGTATATTTTTATCTTTAATTATAAAATTTAAAGCTTAAAAAATATTGTGGATCAAGCAGATCTATGAAAACTTGAAAATCTTGAAAATTGACAGTCCACAAATGCATGATATTTCCAAAACTTAAAATCTATTTTTTCTCATGTTCATGCATATTGATGTAGAGATGATCAATTTGAGGATATTTGAGAATTAAAACAATCTCTTCTAGTGAAATTTTTGAGGTGGGCTATAATTTGATTGTTTAGAACCTTAACTCTATATAAACTTTTTCTAATATAATAGGTAAAGTTTCCCAAAATTTGAAGATTTTTTATTTATTTTTATAACTTCTTCTATATTTTCTAGTTATTTTCTAACGTGTATAGGAGAGAGACGGAGAGAGAGAGAGCTACCTGATATGGAGAGGGAGAGAGTACAATAGTTTTCACATTTTAGTAAGAGATTGTAGGAAGGCCAGAAATTTTAGAAAAAAAATTTATGTTTGAAATTTTAGGAGTTCTATGAAATAAGACAATAAACGTTTCGGGAGGACAGATATTCTGAGAGTTACCCATCTAAAATTTAGGATATAATCAGAAAATTATGTTTGAGATTTTAGGAATTCATGGAGATAAAACAGGTTGAAAATTTTTTTTATATACGGTGTCAACCTTATCCTATAGAAGTAAAGTGCACCTTAAAAACCCATTGGATATAGGCTTAGCTCTCAGAATATCCGTCCTCCTTAAAAGATTATTGTCTCACCTCAAAGAGCACCTAAAATTTCAAACATAAACTTTTTTCTAAATTTTTTGGCCATCCTACAATTTTTTACTAACACAACCTCATTTCGTATTTGAATTTTAATTTTTTCTAAAATTTCTGATCCATAATTGATTATCTCGATATAAATATGAAAAAAAAATAAAATTTTGATAGCATCTTACAACACATTATCTAGACCGTCCATTTTCAATATTTTTACATGTTTAAAGATCTACTTGATTTTAATTATTTTTTGAGTTTAAAATTTTATAATTAAATATGAAAATAGATTTTGAGATAATCCTAAAATTTTTTTATTTATACTAACATTACATATTATTATAAAATTTAAAGGTGCGTTTTAATTGGATTGTTTAAAGTTGCAACCTTATATATTTAACATAATATTTAAATATATATATTTTTATTTTTAGGTCAGGTCCGATCGGGTCGGGCACAATCCCATAAATATTTTTCAAAAGTCTAGATCCGGCTGGTCCTATCTCTCTCACATTATTAAAACTCGCTAACTTGCCACTTCTTCATTCGTTGCTCACTGTTAAACATGGCACTTTCGAAACTGTGTGCGATATAAACAGCGTGCAGTTACCCCAAAAACAAGGTCAAGTTATCTCGAAAATTGAGAAGAAGGCGTAGTGTTTTGCCATATAAAAAAGGGCAAAGGGGACACCAGTAGGAGCTCCAGTTGTTGACAACAAAATTTTTTGATCTCTGTTCCCCTCTGTTACTCATACTGATGGATAGTCTTCCAAAAGCTGATAGAATCAGCTTTCTACCAGACTGTATCTTAGAATCCATTGTCTCTCTCTTGCACATAAGAGAAGCAGGCAGGACTTGTATTTTGTCTAGGAGATGGAGGTATGTATGGGCTTCTGCGCTCCCTCATTGAACATCACGGATGACACCGGCAACATCAACTTAGATTTAAACTGGTCTTTTATTGTTGAGCAAGCCCCTTCTCTCCACAGCGGCCCCATTCTCTATTGTACACACGAGCAGGTCAATGTGATTTGGATCAATGGATACCTTTGTTAACAAGAACAGGCCTGTAAAACTCGAACTGAACTTCTCTCGTGAGGTGAGGTGCAAGAAGAAGTGAATGGCATTATTTTGATGAGTTATAGAATGCACACTTCTCTATTTTCTTGTAGCTCTTTGATGGCTTTGGACTTGAGTTTTTACTCACTCAATCCCTCTTGCGATTACAAGGGCATACCATCTCTCAAGAATCTCACTCTAGCTTCGGTGAGGCTCAATGTTAGCATATTGGAGTCTCTAGTTTCAGGGAGTGGGCGGTTGAAGAAATTACAACTATTTGACTGTGATGGCCTTTACCATCTCAAAATTCATGCCTCCAGCCTTTCATTTTTATATGTACAAGGCAAATTTAATGCCATAAATTTGAGTAAAAGTTCCAACTTGAAGGTGTTTGTCGTAGCTCATCCCAAAAGGGATAATGCCTTTGCTACCATGATTAGCAACGATCTGGAGGGTCTCCTTGGATTAGAGGTGCTTTTCATACATGATTCTTTTATGCAGGTAAGAGTTGCTTTTCATTCACTATTCTTTTATGCAGGTAAGAGTTGCTTCCAGTATTGTTCTAATGTATATTGATGGATTTATTTGGTGGGATTTTTTTTAACACTATCAGTTCTATAGAGATAATTGTACCTGCGTTCCATGAACTTGTGGCAGTATTTTTTCAGAGGAGTTGTTCCTGAGAGACTCCCTACCACTTACAATTATCTCAGGCTTTTAGTTCTGAGTTTAAATACAAGCAAGATAATGGAGGTTAAGGGCTTTGCTTGTCTTCTGAGAAGTTTCGCATACTTGAATATCTGACCATTCAGGTATGCTTGATGATAAGATCTCATTTAGCTTATACTTTCACTTATATTTTTCATACGTTACTTGGTGCCTTTATATTTCTTGATTTATTTTTTGGTTTTATTTTTTGAAGGCTTCTCACCATGGTGCCTTTATATTTCTTGATTTCTTTTGATTTCTTTTTTGGTTTCATTTTTTGAAGTCTTCACAGCTTGAAAGCCAAAGTGATGGATGCTTTTGGGAAAACATGAATTGTCAATCTGGATCTTGGTTGGGGTTCCTCAGAAGAGTGTACATAATTCTGGGAGAGATTCGGTTAGAAGATATGGAGTTAATTAAGTTCTTGCTGTTGAACACCAAAGTGCTGGATGAATTCTTCATTGAGATCATTGAGACTAGCAAAGGCATGGATCAAGCCAAACAATTAAGCCTCGAAAACCAGTTGCATTCGCTTCCGAAAGCTTCTTCTCGTGCCAAGATCATATTCAAAAATTCCAGCTAAGACTTGCAAATTTTCAAAACCAAATCTCATGTTTGGTTGGTGTTTTGAGGAAGAATGCTTATTGTCTATCATCAATATATTTTGAAAGAATGATTATCATATTGTTTTCAGCAATTTGAAATCATTGGCTATATTTTGTAGCTGAAAGGAATTATTGGGGGACAGCATTAGTTAGCCACAAGGGTTCAAAGCATTTTATAATGTTGCTTTTGTGTTCTCAGCAATTTGAGATATGCTCTTCTATTTTAAAACATGTTATAACAACACACATATAATGCTACCGACCATTATGCTGCCATCTTTCAAACATTGTTGTTGTATTTTGATTATTTTGTCCAGAAACAGAAAATAGCCTGCAAGTTTAGGATTGCACTCATTGCCAAGGATCATGCAACTTTTGGACAATTATGCAACTCTCTTGAAGTCATTGAATCTTTATAATTAAGAAATAGCTTCAAAACCACAGCAATAACTGCTTACGGCGGAAACTAGAAGAAACTGTTTATGGCCGAAACTAGATGGAAACAGATGGGTCCAATGTTACATTTTTTGTTTTGTAGAATAGTTGTGTATTTCAAAATAGGAAAACCTTTATATAAGGTTGCAACTTTAAAATATCGCACCTCAAAATGCTGTAATAAAAAGTTGTTTGGATGTTGGAAAACTCTCTAATTTATCATCTGGACATCGAGATGTATGAATATGATAAGTATTAAAGATTTTGAGTCTGCGAAATAGAGTATCTTGCAATGTATAATCTAAGACCGTGCATTTTCAAGATTTTCATGTGTTTATAGATCGACTTGATTTGAACTATTTTTAAAATTTTATAATTAGAGATGAAAATAGATTCTCAAGCCATCCTAAGAATTTTTTATATCAAAATTACATTTATGATAAAATTTAGAGGTGCACCTTAATTGGATTGTTTAAGGTTGCAACCTTATGCAAATCTCACCCTTCAAAATAACATAGTGTTTTGTCTATTTATCCTGAGCTTTATTTTGTAAAGAAATATATGTGTGAGTTTTTAGTCACACATTGAAGATGAGAGTGTAGACTGAGTGGTATTTAAGTGATTGAAGATGAGAGTGTGGACTGAGTGGTATTTAAGTGATTGAAGATGAGAGTGTGGACTGAGTGGTATTTAAGTGATTGAAGATGAGAGTGTGGACTGAGTGGTATTTAAGTGTTGGAACAAAGTTGAGAGTAATGGTGCAAGTACTGAGCACATGAAGCATGCGATACGCATCCTGTGAGAGGGTGGAAGGGCCTGTGAGAGGGTGGAAGGGCGCTATAGTGTGTACTTTGCAGACGTCAAATTTAATTTAAAGGTGGTGTATGTAACAATCGAATTTAAGGGTTGTGTATGTAACAAACGGTTGATTGTTGGTGAGATCACAACCATCGAATTTAAGGGTGGTGTATATGACTGTTGGTGGAAAATGTAACTCATCCCTCTCTATCTCTACACATTTTTCTCTCTTTATCTTTGTAAAATACAAGACTCTCGTGATTTACATAATAAGCTATTGGTTCCGAATACATAGAACCTAGAAGTGCATAATAAACCCTTCTGTTTTTCTGTATCCCGGTTCGTAGAACTTAGAAGTGCACAAGATAACCTTTTGTTTTTCTGAAATCAATCAATCTCTCTCTCTCTCTCTCTCTCTCTCCAAGAAGCTTTAAATGGTTGATTAACTAATTAGAGTCCAGTAAGCAATTTTTTCTACATTTGAGAAGGCAAGTTTTGTTAACATTGTTAGGAATGTAGGAATATTCTAGAGGGTGAATTCAGGATATATACAACGAGTTCATCACAACAATTAGTCCTTAAGACCAAGCTCTAGTCACCAAGCTCTATGAATGACTCAGAACAGAGACACAATGTTCACGAATGAATCAGAACGTTAGAGAAATTAGATGATCATGATCTAAATATCCAAATATACGACAAGAATTTGTAAAACCATTCAAGACCAAATCAAGCCAAGGCTTAAAGCCCATTCAATGTCAAATCAAGCCAAGGATTGTAATAACTAAGTTGCAGTAGAGTAGGAGATGATTCTCTCCATTGATTCACGAGAGCCTTGGCCAAGGAATTCAGAGTGGACACTTTGAGTTTGAGCATATGGTTATTAATTGACATTAGAAGCCAACATCAATGACATTAGAAGTCCCACTGGATAGTTACATCATCCATTCAAACTCGGATATAGATATTGATGCTTGAGGACCACCTTCACCCGGGGAGACCCTCTAGGGATCGAAGCTAACCGGTTTAGGATATTCTGTGAAGAATATTCCTCAAATCCAACCACAAACGTATGATGTTGGATAGCAAGAACCCAATCAATTGCATGTCGTGCTCGAGGCCCACTAAATATTTGGTTTCTTTTAGTTGGAACTTTCATCCAAATTAATGTCACTAGAAAAAGGGTAAGTAATTAAAGTCACTAAATCCACTGCTAAGATGAAAAACTAAAAGACTTGGGGAATGAATTTTGATATGGTAGAGGCCGTCGCAATCTTCTACTTTGAGGTACTCCAATCGCGGGCTACGGGAAACTATGATCTCGAGTGCGCCATCATCACGTGACACATTTTGCAGAGAGGGGAACTTGAGAGATTGGAACCCGATGAAATCAGTAGGGGGTTCAAGGATGCAAGAATGCAAGTTGAGCAATGCCAGAGAGTTGCATGAAAACAAGCAAGGGGAAATTTTGTATTGATGAAGCTGATCGAAGTTGATGCTAAATTCTTGAAGGCCCCCTCTACTCTCTCTCTCTCTCTCTCACCCTCTCTCTCCCCATTTAATTTATAGTTGGATCTCAGCTGATTCTTTCATGACTTCTTCTGATGTTCCCTTGTTTATGAGCAGGAATATGTTGTATTAATTTATTGGTTACAAAAAACCTCTCTTTTTATTTTGCCCCAATTTCCTTGACCATTATGTCATGCCATGAAAAGCCCGTATCTTAGTCTCAGGTTTTCCTTTTTCTTTTTCTTTTTTTCATTTTCTCTCACATTTCCAATTGTATGTAATTTTTGGATTTCTCATTTTTTTTGATATGGTCAACTATGCTTCTTCATACCTATCAGATATTCTTTATGTTGCCTTTTTCATGATAGGAATCATATCCGTTAATTATTATGTCATGGATGGATCTAATGATTAGCATTGTTTTATAGAATCTGGTATATGATCAATGTGCACCTTAAGAGAGGATCTTATCAAAGATGAAGCCAATAGATTAAAGAAACATAGGTTGAAATTTGAGATCCTATGAGTGTTACATGGTCGTGCACATCAGTGTTAGTGTCCATCAACTGTTATAGATGTATAATTCTTCGACCTGATAAATCGATACTCATTGATAAGTCTGTTCAATTGTTTTTATAAATAACATTTTATGTTTTACTAGTATATATGATAATTTGCTATATCATTCGCATGTGAAGCTGGTGGGAAGGTAGTAGAGCTCACAATAGCAGTCCAATATTGCCTGAGTTAGGTGGTAGAGCTCACAATAGTAGTCCAATAATGCCTGAGTTTGAACCCTATGGAGTGTTGACCCTTGTAAACATGCTGCACCATCATAGATTGGAGCCTTGGTGTAAATCTGGAACCCAGTGTCATCGTCAAAGCCCATCTCTGTCCCACCCCATCTCTGTATTTGAGAGAAAATTTATTAAGGGGCTGTGTCATTCATGCATTTATGTAACCAATTTTTGTCATGGATCATATATATACTGTCACACTTGATCCTTACTTTTTCTATGTATTTTGTTTTTTGGCATGCCTTCTTTCTAAACAGGGTAACTTATGTCTCTTCTTGGACATTTAAATGACTACCTCGTAACAAAAGGAAATTTGAGATTAAGATATCGATTTTCTCTTTTCATGCTGCCATTTTTCTAATTTAGTATTTTTTAGTGGTAATATTTAACAAGTTTTGCTTTCGTGGTCTGAGTCCTATCTCTCTCTCTCTGTCTCTTGTAACTCTAACTATACTGATAACATGCAACTGACCATTTTTATGAATCATGTTCAATGGTCTTCTTTTCATGGTGTTCCTAGGGAACATTTTTATGAGTGTTTTCTTGATTGCTAGTTTTTTTGAGTTTGGACACATCTTCTAATGCTCTGGTTAGATTTTTAGATTGCCAATATGTGGCCTAACTATGAAATTATGCAGGTGAACGTTCCGAAGACTAAGAAGACCTACTGCAAGAACAAGAAATGTAAAAAACATACCTTACATAAGGTTACACAATCCAAGAAAGGCAAGGACAGCCTTGCTGCTCAAGGGAAAAGGCGTTATGATCGGAAGCAATCTGGTTATGGAGGTCAGAATAAGCCAGTTTTCCACAAGAAGGTAATTTCAAAATGGCTATGGAAATTCTTTGTCCTGGTTTCATATGTGTGAGTTTAGCTTTTGGGGTGCATTTTTTGTGACATACTATTGTCACCTTTCTCAGGCTAAAACAACTAAGAAGATTGTGCTTAGGCTGCAATGTCAGAGTTGCAAACATGTTTCTCGACACCCAATCAAGGTGAGCCTATTGAAGGTTACTA